AAGATGCTGAGTATGACTGGAAACCAGAGAATTGCAAAGAAAAGCCAAGTGTCATTTGTACTCACCAAGTTTGCCAACATTTAAAAGATTACTAATATCCCTGAGTGAGGCTTTGTGGGAAGGAGGTGACTTTCTTTCTAGAAGTACATACTGATAGAACCTTCCTGGCTGGGCTCGGTGGCTCAGCCTGTAATCCCAGCACTTTGGGAGGCCGAGACGAGAGGATTGCCTGAACCCACAGGTTCGAGACCCACCTGGGCAACTTGGTGAGACCTCGTCTCTACAATAAATCAAAAACTAGCCGGGTGTGGTAGCGTGTGCCTGTAGTTCCGGCTACTTGGAAGGCTGAGGCGAAAGGATCGCCAGAGCCCAGCAGGTTGAGGCTGCGGTGGCTGGGAGCGTGCCACTGCACTCCAGTCTGGGCGACAGAGTGAGACTCCAACTCAAAAAAAAAAAAAAAAAAAAGATAGAACCTTCCTAAAGGGCAACTTGGCAATAGCTATTAAGATAGGAAGTGTCGCCAGGCTCGGTGGCTCAGCCTGTAATCCCGCGCCTTTGGGAGACTGAGGTGAGTGGATTGCGTGAGCCTATGGGTTCGAGACCCGACTGGGCAGCGAGACCTCATCTCTACAATAAATCAAAAAATCAGCCGGGCATGGTAGCGCATGCCTGTAATTCAGCTACTCGGAAGGCTGAGGCGGAAGGATCGCCGAAGCCCAGCAGGTCGAGGCTGCGGTGGCTGGGAGCGGCCACTGCACTCCAGTCTGGGCGACCGAGTGAGACTCCAACTCAAAAAAAAAAAAAAAAAAAAAGGATAGGAAGTGTCTGGTCCTTCCCCTCAGCAGTTCCACTCTACACAGAAGCCCAGGAAAAATGTAAGAGCAAAAATTAGGAGACAGTCTAAATTAATTTGAAGCAAATTTCTGATGTCATGTTATTTCATTTGTAAATGTGAGTATTTCTAAGAGATACCCTCCAGGGGTGTGGAACTCTGGCTGTTATTCCAGTCCGTCCTGCCCAGGAGTCCCCAGCTTTTCCTTCTCACCCTTTCTCAGGCCCTGGTTTAGCAGACAGACCCCAGGCTTTGACACTGGGAGGACAAGCACCGAGCAGGCCCAGCCACTGCCACAACTGCCCCTGTGTCTTCTGAGCTGTGTCCTGGGTCTAGAGACAGCAGCGTAGACATGGACATAAAACCCCCACTTTACTGGAAAGAAGAAGAGGCCATGACCCACACCTGGAATAGCACTGCTCTGAGACATAGTTCACAGTGAAAAAAAGCAAGTTGCAGGAAATACACTATGATCTCATTTATGTTTACAAATCAAAAAGTAGGATAGCAAAAGCCAGGAGGGGATACTTGCCACTTGTCTACCTGGGAAAGAAGTTACCTACTTTCATGTAGAGCAAAATAAGACTGAAGATTAAAGAGAGAAAGGTTTTTTTCTTTATTTTGTTTGAAACTTAGAATGAGAATTTGTTTTACTTCTATAAAGGCTGGTATCATTTGAAAAATATAAATAATGATAGTTTTTATTTATAACCCACAGAATAGAACAAATATCCATGGGTCCATCATGACATAAGTAATCGAATGAATGAATGGTATGGAAGGGACAGTTCTTCCTTACGTTGAAAGTCCAGTTAATAAATGTTGAAGGAGCCAGGCGCAGTGGCTCGTGCTTGTAATCCCAGCACTTTGGGAGACTGAGGTGGGAGAATTGCTTAGCCCAGGAGTTCAAGACCAGCCTGGGCAAAATAGCGCTACCTTGTCTCTACAAAAAATAAAAAAATGAGTAGGGCATGGTGGCATTTGCCTGTAGGTCCCAGCAATTCAGGAGACTGAGGTGAAAGGATCTCCTGAGTCCAGGAGGTCGAGGCTGTGATGAGCCATGACTGTGCCACTGCACTCCAGCCTGGGCATCAGAGTGGGACCCAACTGAAAAAAAATGGAGAAGGAAAGAGGAAGACAGAAAACCATCATCAGATAAACTCCACAGTAACATTTGTAATAGGCACGTTTCACTCTTGGGTGCTATAGTCAGTGAGAACATGTTTGAGGCAAAACAGAATATTTGTCTAATTGTAAATATCTTCCTTCATGATATTTGTTAATTACAAAGAGAAAAATAGTAATTCACAGGGGAGAAACCCAGCAGATACTACCTTCATCAGCACCAGTAATGAGACAAATAGACAACTTGTGTCCTCAACAGGATTCACTGAGGCATGGCACTTCTGTGTCATTCCTGCATAGATGTGTAACTTCAGCCTGCTCATGAGAAGACGTGAGACAAACCCACTTGGGGAGATATTTTTCAATGTGATAGACCGTTCAGGAAAGACAGAAAGACTGAGGAACTGCTACAGGTTGGAGGAGACGAAGGAGACAGGACAACTAAATGCAATGTGGGGTCCTGGAGCAAAAAGCCATGAATGGAAAAACTCATGACATTCAAATTAGTTTACTCATTTAGTTAATTGTGCTGTACTGATGTTCGTTTTCCAGGTAGTACTGTACTATGGATATGTACAATGTTAGCATTAAGGGATGCTGGGAGAAGGGTGTACAGAGAATTCTTTTCTCTTTGCAACTTTTCTGTACTTCTAAAATTATTTTGAAATTAAAAAACAATTGTTTTAATGTAGGAAAATATACCAGGGGTGCCAAAAAAAAATGTATGCACATTTTAAGAGATGTTCGCTGTAATCAGAAGTGTCTGGATGCTGAAGGTAACCACTTTGAGTACCTCTAGACAGGCCATGTAAACAGTACCCATCTCATTGTATAGATGAGAAAACTGAGGGCAAAAAGGGTGTCATACTGTAAATTACACAGTGAATATCAGGAGTCTGGAATTTTTTGCAGAGCACCAACCACCCTGAGTGCCCCAGCACTGCCAACTCCCTCTTACCTCCTTAATACCACGCGAGATGTGGCCAGCACCTGGGTCAGAGCTGAAGTCAGAATAGGGTCCTACTGGCAGCCTTCCAGACCCAGAATGCCTTGGCTTTTTAGGAAACCTGATTAGGTGCCAAGAGAAAAGTTTTGGAATTTTAAGGTGATCAGATCCTTTTCTATCCTAGGTCACATGACAGTAAGTTAGTAAAGACTTGTGCAGAGTCACAGTCCTTTCCCCAAAGTCATTTTGTAAGCCTTTTATTGAGAATTCACATACCATATGGTTTACTCAGTGTAAAGTATACAACTCAGTGACTTTTATTTGTTCACAGAGTTGTGTAACCATCACCACAATCAATGTTAGAACGTTTTGTGTCCTAAAAAGAATCCCCTAACCATCACACCCCTTCCCTCATCTCCTTCAGCCCTAGGCAACCTCTGATCTGCTTTCTGTCTCTGTAGGTTTGCCTATTCTGGACATGTCTGAGAAATGGAATCATACAAAATACAGTCTTTTGGCTTCTTTCACTTAGCACGGTGTTTTGTGATTTTTTTGTTTGTTTTTTGTTTTTTGTTTGTTTGTTTTGAGTTGGAGTCTCACTCTGTCACCCAGACTGGAGTGCAGTGGCCACTCCCGACCACCGCTGCCTCGACCTGCTGGGCTCAGGCGATCCTTCCACCTCAGTCTTTCAAGTAACTGGAACTACAGGCGTGCGCTATCACGCCCGGCTGATTTTTGATTTATTGTAGAGATGAGGTCTCGCCAAGTTGCCCAAGTGGGTCTCGAACCCACAGGCTCAGGCAATCCACTCACCTCAGCCTCCCAAAGCACTGGGATTACAGGCTGAGCCACCGAACCCGGCTTGTTTGTTTTTTCTGCTGAGGCGTTTTATTTGTACATATCCATTATATCCCTAGAAAAAGAATCCCAGGATTTTCCCTTCTGTGTGTTTCCATGTTGCTCCTTTGTGAACCATGATGCCAGCTGAGATTGTCAGTACAATGAAAGCAAACTGGCAGGATGGAAGCAGATTATTCTGTGACTTTTCTAGATCTTTGAGTTGCACATCAAGTCTGGGGCTTATCACGTCACACTTGTTTAACCTGCCTGTGAGGTTCACAACAATTTTTCCAGCTCTGTAATCAGTGATTTCAAATTCGCCAGTGTAACTGTACTTCATCATCACAGTTAATAACCAGATGATGATTTTGGAGCACTGCCTGATGAGAACCTGGTGTCTGCCCATCTTTTCGGCATTGTTGATGCTCTTGAGAGCATCGCCAGGACATTCATGCGCACAATGATGGCAGTATGGAAAGATGACGGAAAGAGCAGCGCAGTATTTGTAAAGTTCATCCATGTTATAGCAAGTGTCAATACTTCATTTCTTTTTATGGCCAAATAATAGTCCATTATATGGCTATACCACATTTCATGAGTCCATTTATCAGTTGTTAGATATTTGGGTTGTTTCCACATTTTGGGTATTGTAGGTTATGCTGGTGTGACTATGATTACATGTTTTTATATGGACATAAATTTTTTCTCTTGGGTATATTCTTACAAGTGGAAGTGCTAAGTCATATGATGACTCTATATTTAACCCTTTGAGGATTTGCCAGACTGTTTTCCAAAGCAGACGTACCATTTTATATTCCTACCAGCAATGTACAAAGGTTCCGATTTCTCCACATCCTTACCAACACTTGTTACTATCTTTTTTATTTTAACTATCCTAGTGGGTATAAAGTTGTATCTCATGTTTTTGGTTTGTATTTTTCTGACAGCTTAGGATCTTGAGTATCTCATTCATTTTGAACTTCATACTGTCAGGCTAATAATCCCTTTGAGGCTTCCCGAATGTGTTCAGCACTGGTGTCCCCTCCTTGTGAGATAACTGTACTGTCCCAAGAGCCCTAGAGAATGAGAAGGCATTGGGTTCTCATGGCTCCATAGCCCTGTTTTGTTTTGTTTTTTCCAAGATTCTAGACCAAGGTACTAGGCATAGAGAATCCTATGTGTGCTTATCACAGGAATCTTGTTTATTCAAAAGACCCAACCACCTTTCGTGACTCCTTGTTCCTCTTTCTCTCTCAGGAGGTCCAGATGGTTCTTGTGACTCCAGCTTCAGTAGTGGCATCAGTGTCTTCACTCCAGCCAGGTAGGTGGTTTGTTCCAGCCGGAGGTGTTTGTGGAAAGCAAATATCCTAGATCTTTCCTGGGTGCAGCAGACTGCAGTAAAGACCCAAGGCAAATTCTGCTCAGGGCCACTCCTTTTGGGGGACCCTTATGCACAGAGGAGTTGCTTGGTGAGGGAATCTGAAGGCTACTCATCCCACCAGTCCTGATGGACAGACAGCCTTTCAGAAGGGTTAGAAACCATGGGTCAGTAAATGCAAGTTGTACATTTACAGCTAACGCATGGTGACTGCAGTGAGACACTTGCAGATGCCATGGCCCAGCACCTTCTGCTTGTCCAGGATAATGTGGGGCCGCCAAGACTGACAAAGTGCAGGCTCTTACAGGACAGGCCAGAGCACAAGCAGTCATTAATTGTGTCCGAGAGTATGGCTAGATTGTGGGCCCAGGAGCTGTCCTCTCCTATGCTCCCAGGTCAGCTGTGATAGCGCAGCCTTCCACGTGGGGGCAGTGCAGGCCAAACAGCAAAATAATTCCCTTTCTTGCAGCTCTCTCCATACTCCCTGCAGGGTAATGGGATTCCCTGGGGAGGGAACTGTTGACAGTTTTCATCCTGGTCTGATTCCCTGGACTTGTCCCATGGCTCTTTTTCTTTGGGTGGCATTGGCACATGTGAGCTAGAATGGATGGCAGTTCTGCTACAGGAGATTTCTTCCCTCTGAACTTGATGATGAACATGGCCCTGAGGGAGCAAGTCACTCATGAAGAAGAGATGTACACACAACCCCAAGGGGCTCTTTGCACCAGGCTCTTCCCCTCAGCATATGGAGAAAGTTGGATGGGGTTGAGATCTGTGTTGAAGGAAAAACTGAGATCAAGAGGCAGGCCCTGAATATGTCCCTGACCTTGATCTTTAGGATCTTTCCTCCTCTGATATCGTTTGTGAGTTTATTCAGATCTCTAAGGACCTTGAGCACATTTTGCAAGTACTTATTATAAATATGTGCCCCTAGGACCCTTCCACATTGGGCAAGCAGATCGGTAAGTGTTGGCTATTCACTCGTTTTCAGTTTCTTGTCATGTATTTCCAGAGAATCTACCTTTGTTCACCCCTACAGGTAGAGAAGAAGCCAGGAAGTTGCTGGAAAGGGGTGATTGCTCTACAGAGTGTTGGGGAGACTAGCCATGGGGTACCCGAGCCAAGGCATTGAGAATCATGACTGATAACGTGAATGCTCAGCGAGTGCTTCCAAGGCCTGGCACTGTGCTGAGCCCTTTATGTCAAGTCCTTTAGATGTTGCTTATGTTGAAGTCCCATGGGGTCAGTGGTATTATTTTCATTTTGGGGATGAGGTGGCATAGGAGAACAGGAGACTGCTGTGTAGAAAATAGACTTGGAGGGGCTAAATGGGCACAGACCCCCTTGGGAGCCACCACAGCTGTCCTGGTCAGAATGGATGGAAGCTCAGGCTGAGGAGGGGACAGCATGTGGAAAAAGTTGGATGGGTTTGAGATTTGTGTTGAAAGTAGGAGTGACAGAATTTGCCAATAGATGGCATGAGATGGGAGAGAGGTGGGGGAAAGAATAACTTCTAGAAGTTTGGAATGAGCCAAACTCTGGGTATCCTGGTATCATTTCCAAGCTGGAGCTGGAAGGAAGAACAGGTGTAAGTCGGGCATGAAGAGCTCTGTTCCAGGTGAATCTGCGCATCCCAGGAGAGGAAAAGGAGGCAGGCTTGGATTCTGGACCCTGGAACTCGGGGCAAGGTCCAAACAGAGGTGCAGGGCTCTGGTATGTCCTGCATAGCATCTGCTTTTGTCCTGGAGGCTGTGGGAGCCAGCATTATAGTGGAAATGGCAGGATCAGATCTGGGATTTAGAAGCCGAAAAGCCCTCTGTAGACTTGTCATTATCATCTGAGGAAGCTATGGGGACCATGATACTCCAAGGCAGTGGCAGTTGGAGGTCAGGGGAGGTCCAGGAGGAGATAGAGGTAGGGCCTAACTGATCGAATGTGGACGGTGCACAACTCTCTGCTGCCATTGGCCAGGACAGATCTGCAGAAGGCCTCCATTCCTGTGCTAAGGCCAGAACCCAACAGACTGGAATGAGGGTTTTGCTTTACACCTGTCATTGAGGAGTCCGTGCTGAATTCTACCGTTTTAAAATAAGAAGTCAAACAGGAACAGATTATCTAATGCTTCCTGACCCCGCTGATGGAGGTGCCCATAGTTCATGTCACTGGCTATGCTAGAAAGCTAAAAGAGCCTTCACAGTATAAAACCAGAGCCAGGGTACCCAGGCCCCAGCCTGCCACTTTCTTCTCACAATTGGTACAGTAAAAGGAGACTAAACTTGGACTAGAAGGCGTCGTGCAGGGTCACCACAAAACCAAGCCCACCCTGCAATTTCCCAGGCGCATCATTTGCCCAGGGCACCCCCAGAGTCACCAGTTTCACTCAGTTTTCATCTGCCAAGGGTGGCAGCCAGACTGGGAACTCTTCCCATGGAAAGGCATTCTTGCCTGACAGAAAACTGCCGGTAGTGGTGGTGATCCTGAGCCTCTGAGTGCTCAGTGACCCTTGGAGAACCTCTTACCCAAAAAAATGCACATCCAACAAAATTGTAAATTCACTTCCAGGGGTTCAGGGATCACCTCAAAGGCAATCTTTGCATCCCAAATTTAAAAATACAAAGATTTCTCACTTGGACCAGAACACAGGGAGAAGTAACTGACTGAGCTGAAGAGCATAAGCTACTTCTCCCTCCTTCATGCCCCCTTTTCCTGAGATTTGAGGGAAGCCTCCATGACCCCAGGCTTAGCCACAGGGGAGAGTCACCCAGAAAAGCAGAGTATTGACAGGGTTGCTGTAGGTCTGGGTTCCTCCATCCTCCAGAGCACAGGAAGTCAAAAACTGGACTCCTATGGAGGGGTGAAAAGCAAAAACACCAGGCTGAAAGAAGCAAGCTTAGAGCCGAGGAAAGGGTTCAGAGAGAATAGTCTCCACCACCAAGTGTCTGTCTGTACCCAGGCGTGTTCCTTATCTTTCGTGAGTGCTCTGAGCCAACTGCCTGGATACAGACACTTGGTATACCAGGTGTCTATCACATCCTGACTCCAGCATGTCTGGCAGTGGCCTTGGGTAAATGGCTTGATTTCTCCCTGCCTCAGTTTCCTTATCTGTAAACTGACTTCCAGGGGGCATGGGCCTTAAATGAGATCAGTATGGAAAGAACATAGAATGGTGCCTGGCACACAGAAAGCACTTCACAAATTTTAGCTACAATTATTACAAAAACCTCATTATTAAGCCCATTTTACCAATGAGAAAACAGAGTAACTTCTTACCCAAAGTCACCCAGCTAATTAGTGACCAAGTTGGAATTCAAGCGAGATCTGACTCCAGAGCCCATGTGTTTCACTTTATTAGTTGTAGTTGGATGTTTTGCGTTTTGGCTTCTTTTACCCATCTGACATAGGAGTTCTCAAACAGGTGTTGCTATATGAACAGGCTTCCACTCTGATACCCAAGGTCTTGCTGAGGACTGTGGTGTCTTCAGTGACATTCAATACAGTTCTGCCTGTACATGAGCAGGCAGAAAGATCTAGAAATCAGTGCTTTTCAATTTTTTTGCATCTGCTGATTGAAAAAATTTATAGTGATTGGTGGCTCAGCCTGTAATCCGCGCTTTGGGAGGCCGAGGTGAGTGGATTGCCTGAGCCTGCGGGTTCGAGACCTGCCT